GTCTTCTATTAACATTACCAGGCTTATTTTGAACTCAGATGACCTTGATTTTTAGTTACCAGAGAAGCTTTTTTCACCATCATCTCTACTTGGTCATAATCCCTTCTATACTTAGCTTTTGTTCTGTTCTCCAAATCTAACTGCTCCCTGTATTCTAGAGCTGAATCCCTTTAAGACTTTGCTCCATCAGTTACTTCTCAAATTTTCATTTTTTTGTTCTTTACTGGCCCTATAAATTGTTGATTTCCAGGCTTTTAGATTTCATCAGCCAATAGATTTTTAAATTGGGAAGCCAAGATAGGTTTACCAATTTTTTATTTGGTCAAGAAAGGGCACTTAATAACAATATAACAAAACACTACTACCGTCTACTTAGTGCAAGGAATTACATGCAGCATTATAGTTAAGACTGTAGACTCTTGGAGCCACACTGTTTGGACTACAATTCTGATTCTACTAGGATAAATTATATAACTTGTAAAAATGTAGGTAATACCTACATCTTAAGGATGTATTGTGTATATGCACTGAATTAAGACATAGATAGCAATTAAAACAGCAGCTGGCACATATACATGCATAGTTAGTATGATATTTCATCATTATTTTTTTACCTCATTAAAAACTCATCTTTTTTATTATTAGCTGCACCTTGTTTTTTTCACAGTGGTTGGTCTAGATCTACATGATCAATGTAATTATGTAATGTGTCAATGCTAATAACATGGATATTGAGTATGTCAGATTGTTATTAATATAAAATGCTTAAAGGAACCCCATGCAGATTTCTGGAGCTCTTTCTCTAGATGTTTTTTTGACCCCTCCAAGTCTCATATTGAAATTTGATCCCAGCTGGGTACGGTGACTCACGTCTGTAATCCCAGCACTTTGGGAGGCTGAGCCGGGCAGATCACTTGAGACCAGGAGTTCAAGAGCAGCCTGGCCAATATGGTGAAACCCCATCTCTACTAAAAACACAAAAATTACCCAGGTTGGTGGCACACACCTGTAACCTCAGGTGGCTGAGGCATGAGAATCACTTGAACCCAGGAGATGGAGGTTGCAGTGAGCTTGTAACACTGCAACCAGCCTGGGTCACAGAGTGAGACTGTCTCAAAAAGGAAGAAGAAATTTGATCCCCAGTGTTGTAAGTAGGGCTTAGTGGGAGGTGTTTGGGTCATGGGGGTGGTTCCCTCCTGAATGGTTTGGTACAGTCTTTGTGATAATTAGTCCTTACTCTGTTTGCTCCTGTGAGAGGTGGTGGTTAAAAACAGCCTGGGGTCAGGCGCGGTGGCTCACATCTGTAATCCCGCACTTTGGGAGACCAAGGTGGGCGGATCACCTGAGGTCAGGAGTTCAAGACCAGAGCGGCCAACATAGTGAAACCCCGTCTCTACTAAAAATACAAAAATTAGCTCAGTGTGGTGGCACATGCCTGTAATCAGTCCCAGCTACTCGGGAGGCTAAGGCAGGAGAATCGCTTGAACCTGGGAGATGGAGGTTGCTATGAGCCGAGATTGTGCCACTGCACTCCAGCATGGGCAACAGAGTGAGACTGTCTCAAAAAAAGAAACAAACAAACAAAAAACAAAGAGCCTGGGCACCCCATACCGCTAATTCCTGGCCTTTCTCTCTCGCAATGTGAACTGTGTATTCATGGGCTCCTCTTGCCTTCTGCCCTCAGTGTAAGCAGTCTGAAGATTTCACAAGAAGCAGATACTGGCATCATGCTTCTTGTACAGCCTGCAGAACCATGAGCCAAATCTCTTATTTAAATAAATGACCCAACCTCAGCTATTCCTTTACAGCAACTCAAACAGACTTGAGACACATACTACAAAAGTTAAATGTACTGGATTTCTTAATAGTACCTCTGGAAGTTAAAGGGCAATTCTTAAAATATCTGAATAAAAATTACCTATAATTTAGATTTCTATACCAATCCAAACTAAGAACCCATTGTGAAACTGTAAAAAAGTCATTTTCAAACCTAAAAGATTTTAAAAATACACAATCTACACATTCTCTTCTCAAAAGGCTAATGGAGGATGTGTTCCACCTAAATGAGGAATAAATTAAGAAAAAGTAGGACATTTGATCAAGGTATAAGAAACCCAAAATAAGAGAAAGGTAAAAGGAATCACAGATTCATAGATTGGAAAAGTAGATGAAATTAATGGAACAACTAATATGCTTTAACAAATTAAGAGGATACTTACAGTGGACTATAGGTTGGGGTTAATGATTATATGAGAAGCTAATCAGTTTTTTAAAAAAAGAATTATTAAATCTGTCTATTCAACATTTTAAAGAGATAAACTTTTTTATTAGAACATTTTGATTTTGGTGTTTGGTGTTCTTACTTTCCCTTTGTGTATAAGGAACTGCCTTGCCTTAACCCCACAGTTTTAAGAGGAAGTCCAGCAAACTAGAAATAAATGGAAAACTAAAGAAACAAAACTGGGATCTGGAAATTAATAACATGGCGAAACTATTTTGAAATCACCTACCATAACACTTTGTGGTACTAAAAACTAGCAGTGTATAGAATTATCTATATAGCCAAGGTGGGAGGATCACCTGAGGCCAGGAGTTCAAGGTTACAGTGAGGTATGGTTGTGCCTCTGCACCACAGCCTGAGCAACAGAGCAAGACCCTGTCAGTCAATCCATAATAAATAAATAAACAAGCAAACATAGGATAGAATAGAGTGAGCTCTGAAGAAACCTTTTCTTTCCTATAATTCTATAAGTGTATACTGACATACCCCACTTTTGCAGTCATTGACTAGACAAAGATTATGGTTACAAAGCAAATACATGATATACATAATTGTATATGCATATGTGCATAATTAAAAGCTTAATTCCATAGATCTTTGAAGTTTCTTTTTCTATTTTGGAAGCCATCTTTTTTGCCTTAGAAATTTCATGGTTACTATAATCTGCATATATAGTTATTAAATAATAAAATAAGACATTCTTACTTACCTCAGAAGTTTATGGAACTAGCTACTCCAAGCACTGATGAACTAGGCATTAAGCAGGAACCTGTATAATGCTTTGAGATATTGTAGTTGTGCACGGAATAAATGTGAGATTTAATAATGTTACCTTATATATTTAACTGTTTTGTTTTTATTTTGCCTCTGAGCTAGTAAACTCAGAGATAGCATTTTGTGTGAAATAATACTATTCAGATAAAAGGCACCCTGACTGATGTCAGCAAGTTGGTGGATTAGTAGGTTCCAGCCCTCAAACCCTGCAGAAATACCAAATACCGCTTGGGAGCCTGGGAGATCTGCTAAGAGGTTCTAGCACCCCAGTAGAATGAAAAACTCAAGAATAGACACACTGAAGAGGGTAAGAAGCAGAGTTTCACTTTACCTACATCTTTCTCCTCAAAGGCAGCAGAGTTCAGTGCTAAGAGAGGCCTCTTTGGCCCATGAGTTCTCCCAGGAAGGAAAGTAAGAGTCAAGTGAGTGCCCAGCTTCCCTAGCCTTGCATGGTGCCACCCAAAAGGCTCACTTCTGTTTTTCCCTATCCAGAATACTGAGGGACTCTTCACAGATGAATAGTCTAGGAATAGCTAGGAAAAGGGAAAAGAAGCAGAGGCTTATAGCAACCAACACATGATTCTTCAGAGCCAGATGTGGAGTCTGCTAACTGGCTTGCAGACTCCACCATAGGCTCACCCATGAGCCCTACAGGACACTTCACCTGCAGAACCCCTCAACTAGCTGACAAGCACACCCAACACTCCATGTACCCATCCACTAGCCAGCAGCCCACCCTCCCCTGCAGATAGTGTATGCAGGCCCCGGCAGGTAGTACACAGATATCAGCAACTGGCTCCTGCTGGATTGGAAGAAGGCACACAACCTTGAACACTCTGGGGCACTGCATTAGAAAAAATAAAAGGAGGTTCTCAGCACCTAGTCTAGCTTTGTGAGATTGAAAGAAATCACACAATCCTAAGACTTCCCCTCCCAAGATAGAACAAGAGGAGTGGAGTGGGCATATCCATAGAAAAGGTCTGAGAGACCTTCAGAATCTCTAGTCAGGCTGGCTGGTGAATGTCTTTCCCTTCTGAAGCTAGTCAGTAAAGACAGGAGGAAGTGATTATTTCTTCAAATGCAAAGGTAGAAGGCAAGGCTTAAAGGATCACGCACACGCCAAGAAAACATGACAACCAAAGGAACAAATTAAAGTTCTAGCAGTTGACCCCAAATAAACGAAGACCTATACATTACCTGATGGAGAATTCAGAACACTCATCTTGAATCTCAGTGAGCTAAATAAAATCAGGAAAACAATACATGAACAAATGAGAATTTCAACAAAGAAACCATTGAAAAATCTAATTCTGGCTGGGCACGGTGGCTCACGCCTATAATCCCAGCACTTTGGGAGGCCAAGGCAGGCGGATCATGAGGTCAGGAGATTGAGACCATTCTGGCTAACACGGCAAAACCCCGTCTCTACTAAAAATACAAAAAAATTAGCCAGGCGTGGTGGTGGGTGCCTGTAGTCCCAGCTACTTGGGAGGCTGAGGCAGGAGAATGGCGTGAACCCAGGAGGTGGAGCTTGCAGTGAGCTGAGATCGCGCCACTGCACTCCAGCCTGGGCGACAGAGTGAGACTCCATCTCAAAAAAAAAAATCAAATTTTGGAACTAAAGAACACAATAACTGAACTGAAAAATTCAAAAGTGAGCTTCAGTGGCAGATTCAGTCAAGCAGAAGGAAGAATCAGTGAACTTGAAGACAGACCATTTGAAATTATCCAGTCAAAGGAACAAAAAGAAAAAAGAATGAAGTAAGCCTACAGGACTCTAAACCAATATGCATATTATAGAAAGCAGAGAAAGAGAAAGGAGGCAGATAGCTTATTTAAAGAAATAATAGCAGAAAACTGCCCAAATCTGGGGAGGAAAATGAACATCCAGATCCACGATTCCCAAAGAATTCCATATAGCTTGAACATAAAGGTGTCTTCACTGATCTTTTTTGTGGTTCATAAGCGTGATGATTGGGTTTTCATGCCATTGTGTGAGATATGCCTTTCTCAGACCTTGCTAAAACACTGGCACAGTACCTATTTGATATGAACAATTTTTTACTGAGACACATTATAATCAAATTGTCAAAAGTTAAAGAATTTTGAAAGCAGCAAGAGAAAGCAACTTGTCATGTACAAGGGAGCTCCTATAAGACTTTCACTGGGTTTTTCAGCAAACCTTGTAAGCCAGAAGAGAATGGGATGATATAGTCAAAATATTGAAAGAAAAAAAAAGCCTACCAACTAAGAATAATTTACCAACAAAGTTGTCATTCACAAAAGGAAAGATGAAGACTTTTCCAGAAAAACAAAAGCTGAGGGAGTTCATCACCACTAGACCTGCCTCACAAAAAATGCTTAAATTGAAACTAAAGTTGAAGTACTTCAAGTGGAAACTAAAGGATGCTAATTAGCAACATGAAAATGTGAAAGTGTAAAACTCCCTGGTAAAAGGAAGGATAGAGTTACATTCAGAATATTCTTAATACTGTAATGTAATGGTGGTACATAAAATCATTTTTAATTCTGAGTTAAAAGTATTAAAAACAACTATAGCTACAGTAATTTATTAATTGATGCACAATATGAAAATGTACATTTTGACATAACAATGTGGGAGAGGATAGATGAGTTAAAGTGTAGTGTTTTTGTATGAGATCTAAGTTGTCATTAGCATAACTGATTAGACTGTATCCCCAAACTAATTGTATTATATACAATATATACAGCTTTACATGTCAACCATACCTTAATAAAGTAGTTACTTTTTAAAATTACCATGCTCTTTCCAGAACCATTACTGTATGATTTATAGTGAGTAACTTGGAAGCTTTTACTACATTATCAATGGATATAAATAGAATATTTTTTAAAATTGAAAATGAACTCACCTTGTGTAGTTTCTGAACATCTTCATTTGATACTCCTAGAGATGCCAAATCTATTTCTTGTGAAAATTGAGCAAGGAAATACCAGGATCCACAAGTAGTGGAACACGTCCCAAGAGTTCAGCACACGTGTCTCTGACCAGAAAAACATCACAAAGAACCATTATACAAGAAGCCTTAAACTACCTCTGGTGGTAGAACAAAATTTAAAATCCCAAATATAACCTTGTTACTATAATAACAACACTTTTAAGTCTGAATTTCAGATTCATCTTATAATCAGCATTTTGAGCTGTATGATACACACTATTTTAATAAAAATAGCCACTACTATTTTCAGTTGCTTACTATATGCCAAATCATGATGTTTCATTATGTACATTATGTGTTTTAATCAAGACAAACTTAAAGAATTAAAGTAACTTATTAATGTAAGATCCTATAGAGCAGACCACTGCCTGTTTTTGTAAATAAATTTTTATTGGAATATGGATACACTAACAAAAGAGATTAAAGGCATCCAGTAATAACTTGGTAATCGCTGATCTTTTAAGAAAATACAGGCCAGGTGCAGTGGCTCACGCCTGTAATCCCAGCACTTTGGGAGGCCAAGGCGGGCAGAACATGAGGTCAGGAGTTCGAGATCAGCCTGGCCAATGTGGTGAAACCCCATTCTCTACTAAATACAAAAAAATTAGCCAGGTGTGGTGGTGCACGCCTGTAATCCTAGCTACTCAGGAGGCTGAGGCAGAAGAATTGCTTGAACTCGGGCAGCAGAGGTTGTAATGAGCTGAGATCGCACCACTGCACTCCAGCCTGGGCGAGGGAGTGATATTCCGTCACACACACACAAAAAAATAAAATTGAATTAAAAGTGTGTGTATATATATATATATTACAGAAATCTGGAAATAAGAACATAAATAATACAGTACATGCATTTCCTGGTCCCTCTGTGTCATGTTAACTTTAAAAAGAAACAACATATTCAGCATGTTATGGCTATTAGCATCTTTTCAGTCACATTTGCTTTTGTTCTCATAATTTTTATGCATATTTTTTCCTGCTTTTGATTAACACACTATGTTTGACACATGATTTCTTTATATTAGAAACTATAAATTCCACTCAATAATTTCTAATGTGAAATTTTCTTAGGTATTAGCAAACCTATTCAAAGTAATTTTATTTGCTACCATAGTATAGCCCTTTATTATTTTATGTTTGGACCATAACAACAGTCTACCAAATATGTGACCTCTAGCCTCCAACTTTAAAAGATCCTCTACAAAGCTTTAAGAATAGTTTTTCTAAATGAAGTTTTTTTCAAAGGCTTTCTAAAGAATAGCTTTAAATTTACAGAAGAATAGGGCAGAAAATACAGATTCCTGTATGTCACCCTCTGTAACCCAAACACACACCATTTCTCCTATTAATATCCCGCATTATTATGGTACATTTGTCACAACTGATGAACCAATACTGCTACATTATTAACTAAAATCCATAGTTAACCTTAGGGGTCACTCTTTGTGCTGTATAGTTTTATCAATTTTGACAACTGCATAATGTCATGTATCCACCATAATAGTACCATACATAATCATTTTATTACCCTATAAATGCCCTATGCTCCACCTATTTACCCCTATCTACCTTATACCCCTGGGTAACCAATTATCTTTTGTCTCTGTAGTTTTGCCTTCTAAATAAAATTTTTCCTGATATTTAAAACCTCAGTCTCTGGAGTAGGGCCATATGTGTGAATGAAGAAAGCAAATTGTAGAAAGTATATATAGTATCCTATTTATAAATTTTAAAAGTTACATGTATTTGATTATACATAGAACATTTCAGGAAGGATACCTAGAAAAATAACTTCTGAGGAAAGGAGGAGAGGCAGTGGATGAGGCCTTTTACTTTCTATTATCCTATTTTGTTTGAATTTCTTTCCATATACGAATATTACAATTTAAAATATTTTAATTATCAACCTAAAAATATCTCTGGACAAAAAGGTTTTTTTCAAAGCATGAAAGCACTAGAAAGCACAAAGGAAAAGTTCTAGAGATTTTAACTGCACAAAAATAATAAAATTCTGTATCTCAAAAGCATCATAAAATCCGATCCATCTGCTATTAATGATGTTCTTTATTGTTTTATTTTTTATTTATTATTATTTCTGAGACAGTCTTGCTCTGTTGCGAGGTGGGAGTGCAGTGGCGCAATTTCAGCTCTATGCAGCCTCTGCCTCCCAGTTTCAAGAAATTTTCGGTGCCTCAGCCTTCCGAGTAGCTGAGATCACAGGCTTGCGCCACCATGCCTGGCTAATTTTTGTATTTTTAGTAGAGACAGGGTTTTGCCATGTTGGCCAGGCTGGTCTCGAACTCCTGGGCTTGAGTGATTTGCCTGCCTTGGCCTCTCACAGTGCTGGCAGTACAGGCGTGAGCCACCGCCCGGCTGTGTTACTTATTTTAGCTCATATTTTTCCACACCTAATAATCTCACATGGCTTTATGATTTCTTGTTCACTCTTCACATATTACTAACCTCACTGCAACCCTGCATCTTTGTGGCTCCAATTTTAGGATGGGTTTCATTTTAAAATGGCAACCCTTTCATCAATCCCAATCTACCTACTCTGCATTGTTTTTGTAGTAAATATTACCTTCTAAAATTGTTTATTATTTAGTTATTTGTATGTTTTTGTCTCTGTCCCCCTTGCCATGTCCCACATGAACAAAATTTTTCACCTGTCTTTTTCACTGATGAATCATTAGTACCTGACACTTGGTAGGTATTCAGTAAAAAATTGTTGAATGGGCTGGGCACAGTGGCTTATGCTTGTAATCACATCACTTTGGGAGGCCAAGGCAGGATGAGGCCAGGGGTTTGAAGCAGCCTGGGAAATGTTGCAAGACCTCCTCTCTATAAACAAATTCTAAAAATTAGGTGGGTATGGTGGCACACACCTGTAATCCCAGCTAACAAGGAGGCTGACGCAGGAGGATTGCTTGAGCCCGAGAGTTCAAGGCTGCATGAAGTGAACTATGATTCCTCCAGCTTGGGCAACAGAGTGAGACCCTATATCTTTACAAATTGTGTTGAATGAATAATTGAGTTATTAAAATTATTGGTATATCCTATTCTACTTCTGTTGGTATATGTTGTGAAATTTGTTGTGTTTGATGGTGATCATACTCCTTAGGTGTCTAGATATTTTGGTTCATGAGCCGTGTTCTCCTAGTGTTATCTACTACCCCTTCTAATAATGGATACAAAGGTAGAACAAAATGGCAGACCCTAGTTCTTATCCTTTCCCACAGGTTTAAGGAGCAAGAGCTCTAGGCACCACAGAACTGATGCTCTCTCTTTGCTACTATTTCTTTAGTAAGGATCTGTGTTGAAATCCACAATCCAGCAGCAGAAGGCTGTTATAATTTATCAAAATTCTGGCAGCAGGGAAGTAGAGAGGTGAATGCCCCAATATTCTATAGTATCTGGTCAGCCCCACTTTTTCATTGGCAACTCACTTCAACAGACCCTTTATCTAATCCTACAGGAAGCCTGATCTGTTGCCGGTGATTTCTGTAGCAATCAGTAGTTTGGCACTGATTGTCCCACACAGCAAAGTGAGGCATGGCAAAACAGTATTTCAGAACTTACTCCTAACACTAACTATGGTTTCCTCTTAGTTTTTTATCTTATTCCTCAAGCTTTTGCTTCTTTCTTCTTTCTCTCATTACCCAGGGTTGATTTGGAGGGAGGAAGACAACAGCCTTTACTAGTTTTTCATTTTTTCAGGAACCATATGTAAGAAACTCACTTTAAATATAAAGACATAGACAAGTTAAAAGTAAATAACTGAAGAAAAATCTGCCATGCTAAAACTAATAAAAAAGAAAGCTGGAATTGCTATATTGTCAGACAAAGCAGATTTCACAAAAAGGAAAACTGTCAGGGATAGGGAGAAGCATTACATAAGGATAAAGAGGTAAATTCTCCAAAAAGATATAACAATCTTTAACATATATGCACCTAACAGCATTAAAATGTGTAAGGCAAAAACTGATAGAACCACAAAGAGAAATAGACAAATCTTGTATCACAGAGACTTCAATATCTCTCTCTCAGTAATTCATCCAGCAGGCAGAAAATA